TATATATATGTGTGTGTGTGTACGCGCACGTGGTGTGATTGCGATTGGATGGAAGACAATCCTTTGAAACATTTGACCAGCATGGTGACAGGTCCTGATTGAGGAGGAGCTGGGCCAGAATCCAGAGAGTGGGGAAGGCTGGACAGAGTACAACTTCCAGGCGCCAGCCCTTTCCCCATGCTGTCGGCAGTGGGTGTCACGCTTCATCAATTCGGACAGCGATGAACGACCTTGGTGTAGCTGCCAACCCTCATTCAAATAGTTCTGACGGCGTGCAATACTTGGATTGGCCTAGGGCTGTTCACACGGGCTCCGCCACGTTCCACTGTGTTTCCATCCACTTGTGGGGCGTGTTACAGATTAGTGGTCCCATTTCGAATGTTAGGGTGAGTTGTTAGGGTGTGCAATACATAAGAAAAAAAACCTTGCAGGATCTACAAGGCCCAAAAGTTCTAAGGCCTTGGTTTATTCAGGCTTGACAACAATCGTCTACAGCCGCAACCCCATCATCCAGTGCATCTGTTCTCGCCCCTAAGCGTTGCAGTTTGCAATATCTATACCATGCAATCTAAATCCTTGTTTCAAGGCTTTGATGTTGATGAGGTAGCACTACTCGGGTATGATCCCCTGGCATAAAGACGCTGAAACTCTGTTCTACAATTGAAAACTCTTCAGTCGGGTCTGGATTGTCAAACTTAAAAAACCCCATCAAACTTTCAACAAGTATACAACCCTAAACACCCCTAAACCTCAGGCCGCGCGGCTGCCAAAGGAGACCTACGCTCTGGGTATTGTTGAGCTTGCGCCGGGGCAGAAGTTGATTTGGGGGATTGTAGGGTTTACGCAGCAGGGTTTCAGGGCTTTCTTCGACAGTTAGTAGACTCGGGTTAGGGTCATGAACATGGCATTGCTTGGGCTGTTTTCGGGGGCTATGGATGGAGAACTTGAAGCGGGCTTGGGATTCCGAAACCCTGGGCTCAAATGGCAAAGTTAAGCAAAGAAGAGGCTGGATAGGCTTCAGCAAGCAAATTGCATCATGCTGAGGGCTGAGGGGTCGTCGGATCAGGTTCATGAGCACATGCCGTGGACAACTATGGAGACCACGCAGTGTCACTTTGGTACCTGATGCTGGTGGCCGCGGGAACACGAGCTCGCCCTCGAAAAGAGCATATCGTAGCCGTTGTGGATGTAGAGGCCACAGCTCCCAATGCCGGAGGTATGGCGAAAGCTGGCAGTGCGCACGGCGCAGACAGCTAAAAATTTAGGGCCTAAACACTGATGCTGACGACCCTGTTTTTGTTTCCCCCTGCTTGACGTGCTCCAGCTGCACAGCAATGGGTTCGGTAGCAAGCTTCCCAGGGCTTTCAGTTTAAAGGGTGCCCTAGCCGGACTTCTGACTGAATCAATGCCAGGCTGAGCCTTGAAAGCCTTCAACTTCTCAGGTGCCAGAGCTCTACGGCTCCAATGGGAAGAGCTACTGCTTGCTGGAGCCTGGAGCAGGCCGCGGGTCGCAAGCTTTCCTAAGACGAAAGCTCCAGAGACCCCAAGTGTCGAGGAAGCCCTGACACCCTAGCCCTCCGAGAAGGCCTAGGGCCATGTGTAGCTGATTTCGCGGGCCAGCCCGAAATTAGATGCACTTCGGCGCCTGGCAAGAATTGTTCCCTGAGTCCTTGGCCATGCGCATGTTAGGGTGATGCTGCCTTCTAGTAGCGGCTTCGCCACGCAGTGACCGGCTTTGTGCTCCTCAAAGCACCCGACTGGGATGTTTCATGCTTGCATCGATCTGGCAGTTGCTTAGTTGCTTTTAAATGCGAACAGACAGCTATGGTTAAACCAGGAAGGTGTGGTCGGCAAGGCTGCAGAGAGTTTTGTCCCTTGCAGTCGCCGTGCACAGGACTCGTTGCGCGGAGCTTGGTGTTCAGAATTGTACTGCGCGGGGCAGCTGCGACAAGCACAGCTGCAGTGAGTTCTTATGCTTGCCTCTCCACACTCGGACCGACAGCAACTTGATGTAAGGTTTTCTTGGACACTGAATTCTGAATATCAGTCCACAACTTCTATTGGATATCTTTAAGCATTCGATTCGTTTTCATTACTTGCTCCCACTGCAAGAGGCCCTGGCACGACGGCATTCTGCCGGGAACAGCTTTCTTCCGGCAGATCCGGCCCTGCTCACCCGCCCTCCAGAAACATCCAGGAGTATTCATACGTAGCTTCTTAGTCTCGTAATGTGCACATGACAAAGATCATTGCAACGTAGCAATAGGCGACAGTGCGACAAGTTGAAGATTTCCGACTCCAAAGGTGGTGTTGTGACAGCAAAGGTCAAAGAGCTTCAGCTTCGCGGCATGGCAGGTGGCCGCTTGAACTGCTTCTTGGCCGGAGGTGAGTGCGAAACGAATAACTGCTTGTGTTTCATATGAGAATTGTCATTGCTGTCATGGCCGTCGTGGAGTCGTGAACGTGTTCGTCGTCTCAGGAACCATTTCTTCCTGATGTTCACCGTTCAGAGTCAGCATTGTCGAGCAAGTAAGGCTACTCACTGACCCTGTCGCAGCCTCGGTTTCAGATTGCAGGGCATGGCCACAGTGAAGTGCAAGGGACGATGGTCTTCTTGCGGTGGTCCAGCCTGTTGCAATGGACCCGATCTTGAGCCTGTCTGCATGGTTTCTGGGTCGTGAAGACCATCTTCTGAACCGGTTGGCTTCAGCAGCAACAGTACCCTTCAAAGCTTTGCGGCTTCTCTTGCGGTCCTTCGCGCAAGCTCGTGACTTGCCTTGCTGACAGTTCGTGGGACACCGCGTGCTGAAATTCAAAAGAAACCCCGAAATCCCGAATGGAACTCCAGCACTGAACTCAGCTTGTAGCCTGCGCAGCCAAGAAGACGAAGCCACGCTCGCCTCCTGAACTTGACACTCCCATGCCCTCCCCTCTTACCTACCCGTGAAACTCAGCTTCAACAAAAAAACAAAAAGCGCCTCTCTGCCCTTTGCCAGGTGGTTCCGCGTGCCCAACCTTCCGTTGAAGGCGGACCGTCTGATCCTCATGGACTTTCCGAGGCCGGCTGCAGCCTTGACGGCTTGCTGTTCGGAGATTTCGTGACGACATCCTTGGTGGTGCTGGTCATGAGCATGACATGCTGATGTTGGTGCTGGTGCTGCTGCTGTCGTTCTTGCTGCTTGCATTCGCGATACACGAAATGATGACGGCAACCGAGATAATGAGGCCGATGATGGTGATGATGGCAGCCACATCGATGCCACAAGGCATGTGGATGATGTTTTTGTTGTGGATGATGATGATGATGATGAGGGTGATGTGGGTGATGGCGAGGATGATGGTGATGGTGGTGATGATGATGATGATGTGGTGATGCCACACGACCATGCTTGCTTCTGCCTCAGCACCCCAGACAGAGTGCGAATCTTTCATATCTTCGAGTGTCAGCCCTTGCCAAACACAACCCTGCCCCCAGTGCGTGCAGCAAAGCTTTGCAGGATCGCTGTGGTCGAAGATAGTTGGTTGTTCAGGGTCGACTGGGTTGAGATAGGTTGGGGAGCGGCGCAGGCAAAGCAACGATCCGCAGCAATTCGACACGCCAGAGGAGGCCGCCGTCTTGCAGGGCTCGGGCTTCGGGTGTGTTTTGCGCAGCTTGTCCGTGACAGCTCCTGGGGAGCCGTATCGTATTTCAGGTCTGTGTTTGCAGGGCTCAGGAGCTAAACCATTACATAAGTCGTAGATTCAGAGGAGCATTATGTTTGCCCCGTAAGATGTCAGAGAAGACACCGGCTGCAGCATGCATGTCGACCGGTCTACTCAGAGTGGCTGCTCAAAGCTTCTCAGCTTGAGCAGCAGTTGTAGTACTGCTCGCAGTGAGAATGGTGGTCGTTGTCGTCGTCGTGGTTAAAGTAGTACAAGTAGATGACATCCGTGGCTTAGCTGGCAGGAGCAGAACACCGGCAAGCTCTTCGTCTGGAAGAACGGTTTGATAGCCCCGGAAGGCGGGCCAAGTCGCACATAGATGGCATCCCCGACTAGTGTAGCGATTTCTCGGTGCAGGCTGCCATGAGCCTCGGGTGCTCTCCAAGAAGAAGCGCCGAAATCAGGCCTCCATCCGAATTTGGCACGAGCTGTCTGTCATTGTTGGCTGTCAGTTTATAAGATGCTTGTTTGCAACTGTACGAGAGCTTGATTCATGTAGCCGTCTGCCTCGCAAAATTGCTGCTGCGAATATAGATTTGGAGGACAAACCCAAAGACCTCAACAGCAGTCCTGAGAGTTTTCGAGGCTTCCCGAGGAACGCCGGCAGCTTCCGTCACCGGAGAATGGCAGCTGCAGTTCACAATTGAGGCTGGAGCATAACCGTGCACATCTGGATTGCATGACGCTTCCACGTGTAGACAACTCAATGAAATTTGCACCAACCATCGTCATACTAGGAGACTGTCCATGTCAGGCAAGAGCCGGGGTAGGCAGAGTAATTGTTGGCTTGGGCCACCGTGTTCTGTCAAATCTGAGGCGCATGGCAAGCTTCCGCAGCCCATGGGACAGGAGGCCACGAAAAAGATCATAAAATATCGGAGCTGGCCTGGCAGAATTTTGCGGCTCTTGTCAGGCAGCAGGGCCTGCTCCGGCCGCTGCACCTGAACCAGTCGAGGAGGATGCCGCGCAGGTGCGGAAAGCTTCGGAAGTTTCCCAAAGTCAAAGCCGAAGCCGTTCCCTTCAGCCCAAAGTCCGACTCCGAGACTCCCAGATGCACTTACTCCATGGCTCTGAGGGCTGCTGTTTGAAGGGTTTGAACCAAGATCTGCAATTCGATCCAGCTTTGGAGCTTCGGGGCTTGAGTTTAGTGCAACTGGTGGGCATCCAGGAAGGCTTCAAGCTTTAAATCTTTCTGCCTGAGGCTTCGATAAGTTTAGACATGTCAGGATCATGTCAAGCTTTGGCAGATGTCCTGCACAGCTGCCGTGCGCTCAAGTTTCGGGCTTGGACTGACTGCAGGAGGCTTTTTCAAAGGCTCACTTGCAGTACTGCCGCCACGATCTCTGTCGTTGTCAGAACAGATTCTCCGTATTGCTGCGGTTACTACTAGTGTGCTTTGCATCAAGCCATTTTTTCGGGTTTAGGGCTTAGGGCTTTGTAGGGCAATGTACCTGGTGTTCTGACTCATGGTGTCCGTCCACCAAATAGATGCCGTCGCATGTTTATTGGGTTCAACATTTACCTGGTTTAGGGTTTAGGGCGTTATTGCTTCTTCAAGTTTCGTAGTTTCCGGAAAAAAATTGTGGCAGGGGCCGGAAGCGAACGATGCAGCTACTGCACACGGGGCAGCAGCGAATGCCCAATCCTCAGCTCCTGGGAGCCTAAGGCAGCGGTAGGCATACGAATGTGATTGGATTAAAATTAGGTTTAAGATGACCCAATGAAGCTGAAGGCAGGTACATAAAGATTGTGACCTTAGGTATAGGAGAAGCGTCTGTCTAGCGCATGGCCAACACAAATTCCTTCAGCCAATGATCGTAGCTGATACAGTACTGATACTTTACAACTACCAAACAGGTCTCCAGCTCCTGTGGATCGTGCCAGTCCCCTCAATAGCAGCTTCTGCTTCACCAAGGCTGCTCGCATGCTTCATGCTGAGTCTTTGCAAGGCTTGCCCGCGAGGGACACATGGATTGTCAGTTTTGGTTCAGGGCCAAAACCAGAATGGAGTGATCTTTGGCCTGGCTACTTGAAGGCGTCTTTGCTGCAAGGTCCGCAACAAGGAGCTGGTGATGGAGTGACTGTATAGCGTCAGAGCCTGTATCGCAGTACAGCCTGGACTGGCTTACTAACATTCTTGGCTCTGAACCTTCGTGGATGGGCCAGGCCAGATTCCATACACCGTCCAGATCACGTGCGACTCGAATAGCGGAGTCCAGCTCCCGGGTTAGAGGAGGAATGCATTCAGCCTCAGTCTGAACCTTTCTTGATCAGATCTCTCTCGCTCTCTCTCGCTGGTCTATCCAAACTAGCTGAAGCGCATACCCTCAGGTGTTCCTCGCTGCAATCGGATGCTTGTGCCAAGAGCTTAGGTTCTCCGTGTGCGACCCGCCCGTGGCAACCGCCTGGCGAGCGGAGGCTCAGGCCCAGCTCAGGGCCCTGGAAGGGGCCAACAGAAGCGGGTCCATGAACTTACCAAGGTTGATAAATTCACTTAACCACACGTCCAAGACTTGGACGTGTGGTGCCTTTTTTGGGGGGGGCTCAGAAAAGGCTCCGGTGCTTCTCCAACCCCTTAAGTTCGCCTGTTTCAGTGCGTTTCAGCATGCCGACCTGTTTAACAGGGGAAGAGATCTTCAGCGTGGTGATCCGCCGGGGGCTTACCTCTACCGGGCTATTCTCTCAGCGGAGTGACCGTGGTCAACAGTTCAGCGCTCAGGGTTATATGGGTGGCAACGGGCAGCCAACCGCTAAAACGACCTCAACCCCGACCTGTTGAGCCTCCACGCACCCTCAACCCTCATCAACACCCCCAGAAAATCTCGAACCGCAATTCTGAAGCCAAAGTTCACGGAACTAGCTGACTTTGAAGCGACACCTGCCCGGGGACGAAGGCTGGACAGGAGGTTCTGCCACTGCGGTCAGCTCCGGAGCCTACCCCCAGGCCTCACTGAAGAGCGCCAGCGGTTGATCAAAGACGAGATGGGCGGCCGTGAAGGACTCGAGTGGGTCGGAGAAGAGTAAGGTCGGAACGAAGAGGGGCCCGGGCAATGATGAGATGCTACAGAAAAGTTACAGGAAAGATGACGGACGGACTGCCTCTAGAGCTGCGCATTCGGAAGAGTCTGATACCGGGGTTGGGGAGTAAGCACGGGACCAATGACATGGTTTGATTCTGCACGTGGAAGATTTCCCAAGCTCAGAAGCCTCAAGTTTCACCAGCTTGAATAGGAGCACGCTCTCAACAGGTTGTGGGGAAAAGTATAAGTCGGAATTCTTGCAAGAGACTTCAAGAAGCAAAGCTCCTTTTCTGGATTCTTGCAGAGCCGCAACTTGTCTTCCGTACGGCCTCATCTTGGATGGGTCAGGTTTCTGCAGGCTGCGACTATAAATCATGTTTGTCATCTCTACTCGACCCGAAACTCGACAGCCCGATTCCCAACTCCAGAGATGGCGGTGATTGCAAGGGGCAGCTCCTTTTAAGGACTGGGGTTTAGGGTCGCACGTGTTTAGGGTTGCATGGGGGCCCATAGCATATCGCGCAACGCCTAGCAACCCCGAGTCCGCACTTTGTCTCCAAAGTTTTCCTGGTGCAAAGGAGACGATGCTTTCATCTCCAAGCGGCTTTGGAAGAAGCACCTGAAGTCAGTGGCCTTGAGCTTGGCTGCTTCTGGTTTGTCAGCCTTAAATCCTGCAAGCCTTGGAAGCCCCAAAGTCCTTGACCATACATTCAGTTGCCCTGTGCATGAGCCTTTTCAGGGCCTAGACGTACACTCCAAAGAAAGTGAAAGCCTCCAGTGCAAATATTGCCTGAGCACCCGCTGCTACGGCTGAAGGTTTGGAAGTGTCTTGGAGAAGTAATCAAACTCTGAAGTGTGAAGGGACGGGGCCCTTTCTTTCTCTCAGGTCAGCGGCCTGGGAAGGTCTTTCGAATCCCTGGGCTTCGCTGGCGGAAAGCGGCATTTCAAGGCTACTTTCTGCAGTTCATGGTTTCGAGTTTGAGTTGATACATTAGAGTTGAAGGGGATTGTATAGCAGTTTAGAAGGACTCGAAGGCTTAGGGTTTGATTTGCTCGAACGTGACGTGTTGAGTCCCAGATGCGGAAGTGTGCATTGCGGGTAGAGGAGGTTCGGAGGTTTCTCGGTCACTCGTGGAAGGCCACTCTGTTCCGCAAGCTCAAGGAGACCCGTGACGAAGCCATTGTGCCTCTGCAGCAACTTAGGCACTGTGGTGCCGCGGCTTTCAACCCCGGAAGGAAAGAGGGGGAGAGCGCAACCAAGCAAAATTCTAGGCTTGTACTTGCCGTCATCCGCCTGTCGAGCAGAAGAGCTCAGCCAAGCATGATCTAGAACTTACTCTCCTTGTCTGCTCCAAGCGAGATTCGGGGTTGTCTTGTTTCGCCAAACTTGGGTTTAAGCTCTTTTTCGCCATGCTTGTGCGCGGCCGTCGCAACGCCGCTGAGTGTGCGAGCCGGTGTGCGAGGTCTAACCCACCTCCCTCCCGTAGTCCCGAGAAGAAGCGAGAGAGAGAACGCGCGCTGCTGCCTTCTTCGCGTCCTGTAGGGAGGGAGAGAGAGAGAGAGAGTTGTAAAGCCGAGCCGGAAAAACCTCCCGCGGGATACTCAAAAACCCCGCCAGGGCATGCGGGTGCGCGTGTGCGTGCGGGAGGGGGGGCAGCCGCCTACCCTTCCATGCCATGAGAGGGAGAGAGAGAGAGAGAGAGAGAGAGAGAGAGAGAGAGAGAGGGGGAGGGAGCGAACAACGTGCCACTCTAGCTCCGCGTCGCGTGATGACATGCCAGGTCGCTGTGCGCCAGACAGAGGACCCTCAACGAAGAGTCTGGAGAGCTCTGTGGCACTAGTCACGGTTGCTTGCAAATATAAAGGGAACTGTTGTGCAAGAGCCGGCGGAGACATTCAAGGCACAGAGATGCAACTGATTTCACGGCATCTTGTTCGATCACGGAGGATGCTGCGGCCGCAATCGCAGATCAGATCCGGTCATCTGGTGCCGGGATCTCGTTTCATGTCTTGCCCCTGTGATGGCATCTGCTTAGACCACTTGTATCAGGGGGCAAGATGTGTTCCCTGGTACCTGACGGAGTGGAGGTTGTCTTCCAGTGGCAGTGTCGTTTCTTTGGTCGGGCAAGGCTTGCAGCCCTGGAAAAATGAGGCTCTTTCGCAGGACCCCGAAGCCACGGAGGACAGGACATTCGCCGGAGTGCTTGCAACTCAGACACTCTTCTTCACCTTGCTGTCACTGTCTTGAAGCACCGGAGGGAAGTGAACAAAAAACCGCCCCGAGTCAAATTTGATACGGCCTTGCCGGCCTTTTTTTGCCAAGGCCGAAGCTCTTCGACATCGTCACAATGAGCCAGGATGCGCGGGACACCTTCGGGCCACTGCGAAATGGGGCGAGGGCCCCTGACTTCGCAGCCTGCCAGGCAGCAAAGATATGGTATTCAAAGGATGTTGCTTCTCCGAGAAATCTCATGCCACTACAACGGCTCGACCAAGCTGCGTGCTAAGGCGACGGGCGAGATCAGCATGATTGATAGCTACGGTGATGAGCTTATAGGGTCAGTGCAGGATGGTACCTCAGTGCTGCCGTTGCCTGGGCTAGTGGGCATAGCTGTTCGGCAGCCCTGCTTTTCCTGCTTT